TTGCCAGAAAAGAGCGGGCTTGTTGAGAGCAGAGGGGGACGAAGTGATCGAAAAATGGGGATGCGAATACCGCGAACAGAAGAAAACCGATCCGTAGCCTCAAGAATTTCTGGAGACGTATAATCCTGTGACACCCTTGGAACCAAGAGATGCGTTCTTTGGAGGGAGGACTGGGGCGACTACTCTGTACGCAAAATCCGGTCCGAAAGAAGAAATTCACTATCAAGATTTCACGTCTTTGTACCCGTGGGTAAACAAATACTGTGAATATCCTGTGGGTTTTCCTGAGGTGTACCTCAATCCTGCCAAAAAGTCGACATCCTCACGCCCGAGTTGTTGTTTCACCCCGTCTTACCAGTGAGACAAGGGGGAAAGCTGACTTTCCCACTGTGCGCGAAATGTGTCGAAGAGGAGATGCAAAAACCGATGCTAGAGCGGTCGAATATGTGTGGTCACAGCGTGGAAGAACGGATGCTGCGTGGCACCTGGTGTACCCCTGAACTCCAAAAAGCTGTGGAAAAAGGTTGCCAAATCTTGAAAATACATGAAGTCTTTCATTTTCCCCCGGAAAACCGACGCGTGGGTCTGTTTGCAGAGTACATCAACACCTGGTTGAAGTTGAAACAAGAAAGCGCTGGTTGGCCCACCGATTGTACCACGCCAGAGCAGAAAGCAGAGTACATCCAAGAGTACGAAGAAAATGGAGAATATTGCAGACAACCCGGGCAGGAAAACCATTGCCAAAATGCTTTTGAATAGGTGGGTAAATTTCTGACACTAAGAAATATGATATTCTGCCGACCTCGCAGAAAACAAAAACAAACTTGTAGTCGTTTAAAATGAACGTGCCGTGTTTTTCTACCGCTAAAAAATTAACTAGCAGTGTTTTATGCCACTAAGAAAAGTTGAAATGAAAAAAGTTGTGACATGGAATTGCAAGGTTTGAAACTAAAATGAGGAACAAATGTATGGGACATTTTGCGTAAAAAGTCTGCAGTTTAAAAAATGAACATGCAATGTTTTACTGCAACTAAGAAAATGAACTTGCAGTGATTTCTTGCCACTAAGACCCCAAGGCCCCAGACAAAAATTCTTAAAGGGGAACTCCGGGATAAAAACGAACTTATTTAGAATAGTAGTCCTATATCTAAACTTTCAGTTTTTAATAAACTTTCTTACCTTACTTCTACCGCTAAGTAAATCTTTTACTTAAAAGCTGGCCGAAAAGCATGTCCTAGTATTCCGCCATCTTGAGAAGAATACGAGCCGCGTTACAATGGTCAGCAGTGCGTTGTGACGTAAGAACGTCAATGGTTCGCGGTTGGTTGGCGGAGGGTTCGCGGGAGATTCGTATATTAGAACTACGAGGGCAGAACGTCTTTCTATTTCGTCCCTTTGCATTGTGTCCGTGGCTTCCAGTTCAACCTTTTTTGACCGTTTGTATTAAGCAAAGGAGAAAATGGTCAGCTGCGTTGTGCCTGACTGCCACAATTACTCAGAAAAGACGGGAGAAGCCGTGAGTTACCACAAGTTCCCGCAAGACCATAGAACGAAGGCATGGCTCGACCGAGTAAGGCGTGTAGATATGCCACCCCTGAAAAACGTGTTTGCAGCGAACACTTCTTGCCCAGCTGTTTTGAGATCGATTTCCGTGCACAACTAATGGGCGAAAAGGTTCGAAAACATTTAAGGGATGAAGCTATACCTTCTCTGTTTAAATATGGTCCGGAACCCAAAAAAGCGCGATTGTCATCTGAAAGTCGCCTTCAGGAACAAAACCATAAACAGGTTAGTACTGTCACTCATGCAAATTTTTATCATCCTGTTTTATTTTGCACAAATCTTGTCTTGCTCGATTTGCCTGCTTGGCGGACGCTACGAGATTGCAGTCCAGTTCGAATTAGATGACCTCTGAGAGTTCACGCTCCTGTTTTGGCTCTAGCATATCTAAAACTCAATGAGAAACTGACAAGTTCGGTATAAAACACTAGAAGGCAGAATTAATTCAACGGCATTTGCAAGTAAAAAGAGAGTTTGTACACCTAAACCAGAGTGAATAGGTTTAAATTTTTAGGACTCCAATCCTATCAAGCTGCTAAAGCTAAGCTTGTAAAAAAAATTCAAAACTTGTATGACCTTATGGGAAATTGAATGTCACCTCACATCAAGAGACTTTTATCCAGTCGACTGTGCCACGTAGCAGATACAACGTGTACTAAAAATTGCCGCCTGTTACAGATGTTAATAAGAACTGTTTTTTTCTCTCATTTTCCCTATTGCTTACCTCAAGTTAGATCCTTCAATTCACCCTTGCCCTCAGTTTTTTATGTCGAGGCTGTAATTTCACTTTCATTATTTCGGCATTACGATAAAAACAGACAATTGAACATTCCAAAAATATTTGTAGAAAATACTGTCAAGTATTGAACTTTATCCCATCAGGCTGTGGAAGAACTTTTAGCTGCTGACTTCCCAGACTGTGACGATGAGTCAAGCTCTTCTTCAGAGGATGTCTTGGAAGACTCTTCAGATCAAGACCAGTTTTATAATAATGAAGAAACAGGCTCCTCAGAATCAAGAGTGCATGACATTGGCATTCAGTGTTGCTGTCAGCCTGTTACTTTAAGAAGTATAGCAGTTCAAACTGAGGATTCCAAACAAAAAAAAGGGCAAAGCTAATGTTACCCCCACCCCTATACAAAACGAGCCCTACATGTATGTCCCACCATATGTAGATGCTGTACAATGGAAGGTTTTGAAGGATCACACTTATTCTTTGCCAGCATGTCCCAGTTCAGTGTTTCCTACTTATGATGATAACTTTTTTAGCACCACCCCTTTCACTCAATTGCACAAAGAAGACCCAAGGCTGGAAAATGATGATGACAACGTTGATGGTCATGTCAGTGACACAGATGATGAAGTTGATGATGAAGACCTAGATCCCCACTGGAAATTTCCCCCTAAAGGAAAACAGTATGGCGATGCTGATGAAGATGATGATGATGATGATGAAGAATCAGAAGATGAGTTCCCTGAAAATCCCAGCAATGAAAAAAAATTTGTAGTCTTTAATTCAAATCTAAATAATTTATTTAAAAGATGCCAGGAATGCGGTGATGTTGTCATTGAACAGAAGAGGAAAACTGTTTGAAGCATGTTATCTGTAGAGCTTGTGCGCCAGAGTGGCTGTAAAATGACATGGGAGTCACAACCTGTGGTAAAAAGGAAACCTCTAGGAAATTTATTACTGGCAGCATCCATTCTTTTTACAGGTAATAACTTTGCTGCCATAAGTCGTCTGGCATCATGTTTTAACCTGCAATTTTTCAGCGAAAGTGTCTTTTATGACACCCAGCGTAAATACCTGTTCCCTGTGGTGAATGAGGCATGGGAAGCAGAGAGTCAACGGCAGGTAGACAGACTGACTTCCAAGGAAGTTGTAAATCTCGATGGTGATGGCAGCTGTGACAGCCCTGGCCACAGTGCCAAATATGGCACCTACACTTTAATGGATGAGGACTCTGGAGATGTGGTTGCATTCAATGTTGTCCAGGTCTCAGAAGTCAGCTCATCAAATGCCATGGAGAAAGAGGGCTTTTCTCGCTGTCTCCAAGACTTGGAGGAAAAGGGGATCATGATTAATAGGATTGCTACAGACCGCCATGTTTCCATCAGCAGCAGCATGAAGAAGGACTTCCAACAAATCAACCTCCAGTATGATGTTTGGCATCTCTCCAAGCGGGTGGTCAAAAAACTTACAAACAAAGCCAAACAAAAGGGTTGTGAGGAACTGGCCCCATGGATACAATCCATTCCCAATCACCTTTGGTGGTGCGTGGCAACCTGCGGTGGGAATGTGCAGCTTCTACGTGAAAAGTGGAAGTCTGTTTTAGATCATGTAGCAAACAAGCACAAGTGGTCAGGCAACACGCTCTTCCATCAGTGTTGCCACCGACGTATCTCTTCCTCTGAAGCTAAGCAAATTTGTTGGCTTAAGCCAGGCTCACAAGCTCACATAGCTTTAGAGGAAGTGGTACTGAATAAAAAGCTTCTTAAAGATCTGGCTAAACTAACTGACTTCTGTCACACTGGTAAAATTGAGGTGTACCATTCAATGATGCTGAAGTATGCCTCCAAACGCGAGCATTATTCTTACCAGGGCATGGTAGCTAGGACCCAGCTAGCGGCTCTAGACAACAATGCTAACACTGGCCATAATCAAGGTGTGAGAAAGTCAGGTGAACGGGCAGGTGAGGCACGATACAAGCTTTGCTTCCCAAAAGCAAATAAAAGATGGGTTGTCAAACCAATTAATGAGAAGAAGTCATATCAGTTCTTGTCAGACCTACTTTCAGAGGTGCTCAGTCGTGTTGAGCAGGGGAATGCAGCTGCACAGCCACTTCATCCACACCTACCAAGTAACATTGCCTCAGAACCAGCACCTAGTAAATCAGATGCAATACGCCAACATCGTTCAAGATTTAATAGATGACTTAACAATAGTGAGCCTTTGACACATTTCCTGGAGGTTTCCTATTTGTAACAGTCAATCAGAGTAACACTGAAATTTTTTCCAAACTTGACAATAAGAAACTCAAATACCACCATGTCTTTTTATTCCAATTATGTGTAAAAAACTGAAACCCACATGACAAGAACAGTTTACCACTTGAGGTTTTTTGACTGCAAATAATGAGGAATAGACCTTTTTAGCTAGCATGTTTTGTTTTCCTAATTCACACCATGTTTTTTATGTTCTCAAGGAGATTTGCATTTTCATAACCTTTGTACACATATGTACATGGATGCATGTGTATAGGACTTTTCAACATATCATAGTGTAAAATGAGAATACAAAACCTAAAGGCTTAAAAATTCAGCTCACAAAATGTAAGCAAATTATTTGTAATATCCTCTTTATAGCTGTATATTATGCATCATAAGTGGCTTACAGTTTCTCATTTACACTGGCAGCCTGATGTCAGTTTTAAGTCATGTCACTCGTCTGCATATTTAAACCCTGTAAAGACAAACTCCTCCTCAGGCCCAGGTGGAGGATAGAAGTTCCTAATACACATTACAGCACATGAAGGAAGCACAACCCTAATTTCCTTGCCCAGGATTCCCCAGTACCATCGGGCCAATTGTCTGTATGCTATGTGCCTGTAGAGTTTGCCTTCAGGACCATCAATAGATTCTTTGTATTGTTGCTTATATTGATACCGTGCAGTCTGCAGGACCCATCTATTTATACACACTGGATGGAACCCTGGATGCTGCGTGATGCATGTTGGCTCTTCCTCACATTCACCACGAGTAACTGCTTCATTAAGCTTATTTTTAACCTGCTCTATTTCTTGGCAGCATATGCATGCCTCCGCTCTCCCCATAATCTGGCAATTATCACATGAGCACCTAAATCATAGATGGGAAACAAAAACTGAATTGTTCTACATATAACATGAGGTACAGGTTAAGAAGCTGGATAAACACCAGCAATTGAGAGCTGATTTAAGAAAACAATGTAAGGTTTCATAAGATTTAGATGTTACTAACTTTTTTTTGTGATATGTAGATAAAATATGTTGAAGCAGATTAATTTTGTTTGAGTTGAAGAAAACTGTTTATACAAGCTAGTAAAGAAAGTGAGGACACTGGCAAATTTAGATAGTTAAACATGTAAATAAAATTCTCTCCTGAAATAGGTTAGGCGGGACCAACGGCCGCCTGTTGACTTAAAGAACCTATATGCAGTGAAGATCGACATTTACAAAAATACAATTCTTTTTGTTTGCACCCCTGCTCAGTGTTAACATATATAAAAGACAGCGAAGCGCCAAGAAAATTGTTCAAAATCCTTCCCTTCTACTTGAAAAGTCCAGCTGCGGGGGAAGGAGGGAATTTATGCTAGGTTTTTAACAGCTTTCACGTTCACAGCACCTAATTTGCAAGACATATTGAAAACTAGGAACACTAAGCAATTTGTCGGCCGCTCGATAATGAAATGTTTACGTACTCAAGACTCTCAAAACGAAAAAAAACAAAAAAGAAACAATTACGAACACGACATCTGGGCCAAACAACAGTTTATTTCGCACATCGGTAAAAGAATTACAGTGAAGCAAACAGCACAGCACATACCAGTCGGAATTTTCCAGTCTTGGATTCAATTCTTCGCTGCCTTCCATGGACTCGTCGCCTGAAAGACTTTCAGCGTTGATATCCCTCACATCAGTGTTTACCGCGGTTCAAACTGATACGGCTGGATAGAAAACGTTTGAGCTCCTTGTTCTTCGTCGGAGAACTCGGATTCTGACCCAGAATTCGACATTATAAGAGTGATAAAGGTAAGAAAAACTCCCAAAGCAGACGATGCAAAATGTTGTACACAACTGGAAGCCGAGTAAATATCGGATTACGCTTGACGTTCTGACGTCATAAATGAAAACGCTGACCCATTTCTGAGCAGGCAAACAATTTTCAAGATGGCGGAATGCTATTTGCATTTTTGACTCCGCTTTAGGGGGAAATATCTTCGTTCTAACGAAGAATCACTTAACTTAGAAGTCAAAAATTCAAACAACAAATGTAGGCAAATAATTAAGAAAAAGGTCATTTTTCTCCCGGAGTTCCCCTTTAAGTTTAAAGCTCCCTCTTAATTTGTTTTTATTTTTCCGTCTTGCAGCTTATGGGGACAATTTGGTAAGCGGCAAAACAAACCTTAGGTGCATTGCATCACCTCACCCGTAAAATTGTTCCGACTGATTGATGATGAAGCCTATAGGATTTCCGATTTCCGTATCTGTAGTGAAGAAATACTGGAAGTCGTCACGACTATGGCTGAGGAATAATATGAGCGCAGTTTCAAGACCAACCTGTTTATTGCTGCCTTTACGACATCACACGCTCGATTAAAGCTCTACAGCGCCTTGGATTTCCTGAAAGAACGAGTATTGTACTACGATACTGATTCAGTCATTTACCAATGCAAAGAAGGCGAAGAGGAAGCTCCCTCTTGGCAGATTTTTGGGTGAATTCATAGACGAATTAGGAGGAGACCTGATCGAGGAATTTGTCAGTGGTGGGGCCAAGAATTATGGTTACCTGACCCGTGGCGGTAAAACTGAATGCAAAGTGCGTGGATTCTCCTTAAACTACGCAGCCATGCAGAAGCTCAATTATCAGACGATGAAAGAGAACATCTTCAAAGAATTGGATGACCCGCAAGAAAAAGCGCGTGATATACCGATTGAAATTCCTGATTTCTTTGACCGCCAACAAGCGACCAAGAAAATCAAATTAACGACGCGTGTTAAGAAATATCGTCTGGTCTTTGACAAGCGGGTGATTGACCCAGCTACACGAGTCTCCACACCGTACGGTTACAGCTGGTTCCGCAACGAAGTGGATCTGTTACTGTCTTTGTAATAGATTTTTCTTACGAGAGAACATTTGCATGCTTTTTAAACAAATTAGATTCAGCTTAGTTAATTGTAACGAAAGCGTGGTGACATGACACATTCAAGTGACTTGTGAGTCTTAAACAACCGTGTGGTCTCTGATTATAAATAGATGGGAAGGTATTAACTGGGTAAACGCTTTGCTCAGACATCATGTCGAATATTTACGTAACCCTGGTGGGCGATGTCACTTACAAGTATACTGGTAATGTGGCCAATCAATTTAAAGTCAAACCCAGTTAATGTTACCGGGACAAGCATATAAAAAGCATATGGACAAACGTTACCTATCAGTTCTTTTGAAACCATGGGTGGTGCCACAAGTCGTCTTTGTGGAAACTCATCGCCTACTTTGGCTTTAAGTGATATGTCAGAGGATGCGTTGTTTAGTTGCATGTTGTGGCAGTGAAGTACACATCGATTTGAGAGATGCATCAGAGAGTACCAAAAGGAGGCCCCAGAAGAACTTGAAGAAGAGGAGCAGCAACCAGAAGAACCGACTTTTAGAGAAACTGTACTATGAACTAGACCGTCCTTCAGCTTTGGTTGGTGTGGACAAACTATATCGGGCAGCCCGTCGATATGGAGTAACTCGCTCGCAAGTACTTGAATGGTTGCAATTACAACCCGGTTACACACTACACAAACCTGCAAGAAAACACTTTCGTCGCAACAGAGTAATTGTTTTTGGGATAGATTCTCAGTGGTAAGCTGATTTAGTGGACTTGCAAAGTCTCAGTCAATGGAACCGTGGTTACAAGTATTTGTTAACTTGAATCGATGTGCTTTCTAAGTTTGCGTGGGTGGTTCCTCTCAAGACTAAAACCGGCAAGGAGCTTGTGGCAGCATTCAAGGAGATATTTCGACAAGGGCGTAAACCTGGGAAGTTGCAAACAGATGCTGGAACTGAATTCAAAAACAGAGCTTATCAAACATTTCTTAAAGAGGAAAACGTGCACTTTTTTGTGACATACAACGAAACCAAAGCCCAAGTGGTTGAGCGCTTCAACAGGACTCTCAAGCAATTAATGTGGAGAATGTTTACCACGACCAGTTCCTACCATTATTTGGACAAACTAGATGGTTTGGTCAACGGAAATTACAATCAGAGTATACACCGAAGCATCAAAAATGAAACCGGCCGATGTCAACGAGTCTAATGAACATGCTGTTTGGAGAATCTTGTACGGTAAACAATCAGCCCCCACCAAGTATAAATTGAAGGTAGGAGATCAAGTCAAGGTCACTAAGCACAAGCGAATCTTTCAGAAAGGTTATCTGCCATCCTGGACGGAGGAGACATTATCCATTGCCCAACGAATTCCCCGAGACCCTCCAGTGTATCGCCTAAAGGAAGCAGACGGTGATTTCATTCAAGGCACCTTTTATGAGCCAGAGCTACGGAAAGTACTAGAAAAGCCAGATCACTTGTTTCGCATTGAAAAAACTTTAAAGTATCGTGGAAAAGGTGCTTCCAAAGAAGCGTTGGTTCATTGGAAAGGCTGGCCCAAGAAATACGATAGTTGGATTCCTTATAAGCAGCTGGTGTCGTTACAGTAAACATGAAACAGGATGGAGATTTTTACGTTATACTTCCTAGTAATGCCAATACGAACTTATTTCGTACCAACTCAGCTTCGTATTACGGTCTTGCATTACCTCGTCAAATTCATTTACCAGACGAAGAAGATTGGGAAGTTGGACTTCATCATGTCATTTATCCATTCTCTTGGTTCGAAGTCCCTCACCAATGCAACCACCCCCATCTCATGTTGCGGCGATTCAGAAGTCAGCACATTGAAGAGTTCACCTTACCTGTTGAACGGTATCGAGCAGCATTAGATGTGGTAGAAGGATTGTTTTAATGCATGAACAAAGCCCCCACACCCTGGCACTTGAACATAGCTATTGATAATGAGTGGAACATAACAATCACATCTCAAGACGTGTGGATAATGGTGACAGCCCCTGTTGCCCAAGCACTTGGATGGATAAACAGTGAAAACAAACCTCGTCAAGTAGACACGATGGGTGTAAAAATGAATCCCTCATTGGTCAATGATTTTGGACTATACGAGGTGTGTGCTGCCCATCCGTAAGTCTATCACTTTTCGGGGTACCTATGAAATACCTCAGACAGTCTCTCTTTGTCGCTGTAAACACAGAGTAGTCCAAGTACACAAGAATCTGATCGAGCCTTGGCAGGTCGGTGACACACGACTGTCTTTGTTACACGAAATGGTACCACACGGTTCATTCCGACAGACAGTTATGGAGCAACCTGAACACATAATCTATCTACCCTTGAGAACCAAGACATTTCAAACGATTGACATCTGTTTAACAAGTGGATGTGGTCAGCCTATATCATTTCAAGGTGGAACAATGAACGTTGTGCTACATTTTCGGAGAAGAACAAGATGAGTAGTAGTTTTTACGTCGTGGTAGCCAGTGATGCGAGCATAGATCAGTATCCTGAGAACACACCTTCCAGTTTCAAAATGCAACTCCCAAGTCAACTGCATTTGAGTGAGGATTGGGAAGTGGCCATGACGCATATTAGTTACCCACATACTTGGGAAAATATACACAGCAATCAGGTGTCCTATCTTTTACGTTACAATGGTGAAAAGGAATGGACCTTACCGATTTATTTACCCCGAGACACATGCAGAACAGTCGAGGATTTGATCAGTGGTATGGTGACAGGATTAGAAAGTGCCTTTCAGACATTTATATCAAGAGTGGAAAGAGGATCAAACGTCTTGGAGGCAAAGAATGTTTCCACATTCACGAAAAAGTCAAATATTACTATGAATTGTACTTACCCACAGGATTTCAAGTGATATTACCCAAGAACCTGGCTCGAACTTTAGGGTATTTGAACCATCGAGATCTCGTACCAGCCCTTGATCGCACCAGTAGTCCTACATCTGTTCAACTAAATAAGAACCAGAGTGTGACCCTTACAGCTACCACCACCACGATACGACGAAACGACGAATTGGTATGGGGAATGTTAAGCAAGCATTCGTTTCAAACCATGTATGTCTACTCTGACCTAATAGAGTCCTTAGTGGTAGGGGATGTACAAGCCAATCTGCTGCGTATGATATTACCTCGCGGTCAGCCGGGTGAAATGGTAGCAGACGAAATCAAACGCCCTACCTATCATCGATTGCGAACATCTATTTTCTCCTCGGTGGAAATGAATTAAGAAGCGACACAGGTCGACTGATATCATTTGCGTCTGGTGCTGTCAGAGTAACATTACACTTTCGACGAAGGACAATTCTGTAAGATGCTTCTTCCAATGAACCACCAATTTTATCCTTATCAGCGCTATGTGATTCCTATTGCGCAACGAGGTAAAGGAGATATTAGTATCTATGGAGGAACACACCCGTATGGTCAAGGTGGAAATGGATTGGGAGGAATGTTTCGTTCTCTCTTTCGAACAGCAACACCTCTTCTCAAGACCGCTGCAAAGAAAGTGGGAAAACAGTTACTGTCCACTGGATTAGACACGGGAGTGCAAATTTCTCAAGATGTTATGAATGGGCAATCACTGAAGAAAGCAGCGAAAACGAGAGCAAAAGCTGCCGGAAAAAATTTTTCACTGAGGCCTTTCGGGACATGACGCAACAACAAGGGAGTGGAAAAGTATATAAACGCAAACGAAAGGCGAATTCTGTCAGTAAAAGACAAGTCAAGAAAGCGAGAACATCGTCAGCAACGTTCAAGACTATTTTTGACTGAGTATGGCTTCAGCACGTCCCTTCTCTGCTCCAGGAGTTAACTCCAGTTTGCAGTTACTCGAAGTGCCGGTCACCGATGTTTCTATTGTCAAAAGTAAATGGGTGGACTATGAACCAATTCACAGTGGCACCAATCCCATAGAATTTGTGATCAAATCTCTGTCCGATTACATCGACATTAACAAGACTGAACTTCGTCTGGTGGTGAAAATTACGAAACGAAACGGGGGAGAGACAGGAGCTGGGAAGAATATACGTTGATCAACAACGCTCTTCATTCTATCATCAAACAGTTCACTATCAAGATCAATGAAACCCTTGTCACAGAACAATCAGACACACAAGCCTACAATGCTTATATCAAGACCTTGCTTAACTTTACTGATCAGGCCAAGAAATCTTACTTGACAAAAGCGTTGTACTACAAAGACACTGCTGGGCATATGGATGAGGTGGATAATACAGCAGATCGAAATTTGGGTCTAAAAAAGAGAGGTTCTTTTACCACTGGAGATGCTGAAGTTGGAATAGTTTGTGTACCCCTGTGTGATGTATTCAACCTTGACAAGTTACTGTTGGATGGATTGGAAATCAAAATCAAGATAGATCTTAACAGCAGTGAAT